CCTCCTCAGTCAAGTTCTGATGAGAACTTGGACTTCAAAGATACCATGCAGGAAGGGGAGACCTGCTACGATGGCTCATGGAAGAAGGAGGGGGCCACATTGGAGGGGAGGATGATGTAGGAGAAAAGCAGGCAGAGCTGGAGGAGGAGTGAAATGCGTCATCAGCTTAGAGTCATTAGGTTGCCACAAATAATCCTAGTCCAACCTTTCTTGAATTCTATTGACCTTGATCTGGCACCAATTTACTACTGACTTTTAGTTGACTAGATGCTTGCATAGAAGATTGAGTAATCAATCCTTGTTGAACTGCAATTTAGCATATGTTCCTGACAATTGTGTCCCTATTTTTATTTTTTATTTTGGAAAATCAGCGTAATGCCATCATCCCTTCTTTCAACTTGACCTTTCAGGCATTGTGGTACTGAATATGCCGTAGCCTTCAGCAGGTGAAAATGACATTTCTTTGAAAATTGGTTATGCACACAGCCAGTAGAAGTATTTTTTTAAATAAAGTCAATAACAATTTCAAGTAAGCAACTCCATGGGGATTTAAGTTAATGTGTGGTGTTTTTTTATTGGTATTTATTTATTGTACTTTTTATACAGCTCAATAACAAGGAGTTTCTGGGCAGCTAAAACTTAGTGCAGGCGTTAAACAATGCATAAAATTAAAATGAGAATAGTGGGGCAGATAATATAAACCCAAGGAACAGCTGTAATGTGATAAATGCAGAATAAAAACTCAAATAATGATGAAAGTCATTATAACAAAGTGACAAGAAATCAATAAAATTAACTACATTTGCCTGTCATTTTCTTAGCTTTCAAGTAATAAAAAAAAAAAACCTGATTCCATAAAATAGAAGAACTGGACAAGTGTTAAAGAGCAACTACTCCCCTTCAAGATTAAGTGGCTTCAGATTGGGGACTTCTATCAGCGTTATTATTATTATTAATTTATGGAAATCTATTTCTACACCCATCTATCTCACAACAGCAACTGTGGATGGCTACCATAGAATTAAAACCGAATACAAAAACCCACCGGAATAATAATAGTCGATATATGCGAAGTGGCAGCCAAGAAGAAAAACTGCCACAACAAAGCATCTGTCAGGTGTGAAGAATCAGGACCACTAGTTAGGTTGCAGCATAGAAGATTTATTCAAGCCTATACACAAGAATCTGTTCAGTACTAAATTGGCAGCAGATAAAGGTCAATGGAATTCAGGAGGGGTTGAACTTGGACCTCTTATGGAAACGCAATAATTCTAAGCTGATGATGTATTTAACTCTGCCCCCTAGCTCTGACTGATGTTCTCCTACGGCATGGGTGTCTAACTCCTCCACTCCTCTGCTCGCAACAAAATACCTTATGCTACCAGACTTGAAATTCTAGGCTTAGAAAACTTAGAACTACGCTGCCTTCGGTGTGACCTAAGCATAGCTCATAAAATTATCTGCTACAATGTCCTACCTGTCAATGACTATTTCAGCTTCAACCACAATACACGTGCACACAACAGATACAAACTTAAAGTGAACCGCTCCAAACTCGATTGCAGAAAATACGACTTCAGCAACAGAGTGGTCAATGCCTGGAATGCATTACCTGACAGTGTAGTGTTTTTTGTTTTTTTTAATTTGATTTATATGCCGTCCTTCTCCGGAGACTCAGGGCGGCTTTCAGTGCGTTAAGCAATAGCCTTCATACTTTTGTATATTTTATACAAAGTCAGCTTATTGCCCCCACAAACTGGGTCCTCAATTTACCTACCTTAGAAAGGATGGAAGGCTGAGTCAACCTTGAGCCTGGCAAGATTCGAACTTACTTTAATTGCAGATAGCTGGTGTTAAATTACAGTGCTTTTGTCTGCAGAGCTATCCAGGCTCTAGTTTCATCCCAAACCCCCCAAAATTTTAACCTAAGACTGTCTACTGTTGACCTCACCCCATTCCTAAGAGGTCTGTAAGGGGCTTGCATAAAAGCACCAGCATCCCTATCGTCCTTGTCCTAATGTTTCCTCTATTCGTATTTATTTTATGTATTCAATTCATGCTTATACTTATATATATTATCTAATACATTCTTGACAAATAAAATAAAATAAAAATAAAACTTGCCGTGTCACGTGCCATGACGTGACATTTCGTGGCAGTTTTCCCTTCACGGAGCTGGGGTGGGTGTGGCCTGCACGTGATGCATCTGGCCCGTGGGCCGCCAGTTCGACACCCCTGTCCTACAGCATCCTTCTCACCAGTCCCTTTTACTCTCCAGCTCCCACCCAGGAAGACAGTTGTGTTTTTAAGCCTTTATGAAATGCCAGCAGAATTGAAACCCACCGCATCTCTGGGGCAGGGAGTTCCACATGCATCCCGTTTCCTATTTCCTGACGGTTGATATTCTCTGATAAACAGGATGAACCTTCATCCTTGGAGGTTTTCAAGAAGAGACTGAACAGCCATGGTATAGGGCAGTGGTGAAATATAAATTTTGTTACTACTGGTTCTGTAGGCGTGGCTTGGTGGTGGTGGGGCAATATGACTGAGTGGGCGTGGCCAACTTTTTAAAAAAAAAACTTTTAAAACCATTTTTCTACAACCTCTTCGGCTGAAGAGGTTGTTTAAAAAATGCTTTTAAAGCCTCTGACGATCGCAGCTGACTTGCCTGATCGTCAGAAGCTTTTTCTTTTATTTTAAGCCTCTGACAATCGCAGTTGACTTGCCTGATCGGCAGAGGCTCTGTTTTTACTTTTAAAAGCATTTTTTTCTATAAAAATGCTGCTGAAGAGATTGTAGAAAAAATGCTTTTAAAAATTAAAAAAAACGCCTCTGATGATTGCACGGCTCAGCTGGGGAATGGAGGGGGGGCAGGGATTTTTGCTACCGGTTCTCCAAACCACCCACCTCCATCGCTACCGGATCAGGCGATCCGGTACAAACCAGGAGCATTTCACCCCTGGTATAGGGTCCCTTGCCTGATTAGATGGAAGACCTCCAAGATTCCTTCCAACTCCATTACTTTATGTTCTGTGTTGTTGGACTTGGTAAAGAAGATAAAAATAATTGGGGAAGGGTGGACTTACAAATAACCCAGTCTCTCTTTATAGATGGCAATCAGTATTTTGGATTGTATCCAGAAGGACATTCAAAGCCACTGCGGCTCACAGAGCAGAAATGTAACCTGGGTGTAGTAATATATGCCCATAACTATCTCTCCTTGTACGTTCTGGACTAATTGAAGCTTTGGGATGCTCTTCAAGAGTAACCCCATACAGAGTGCATTATGATACGCATATATGGGTATCCCAAAATTCTAGCTTATTCAAACATGTACATGGATTTGAACACTTAACTGTAGCAAAATAAATAAATAAATAAAGCAAGCATTTCAAAAAACATTACTGAGATAAGAACAAAAGGTATTAAATCAACTCAACAGCACTGTTTATGCTAATTGCAAAAAATAATCAACAGTTATTGCGAAGCAGCTGGAATTAAATTCTGTAAAGGTGTAATAAATTTTATCTGATAACACTACAGAATTAATTTGCTAGTGGTAAATGATACCCATTCCAACCATTTCTTTGTCTCCTTGGCATTTTCTTCCTCTCCTTAGAACTCCAAAATAACCTTCAAAAGGGATGGCATTTTAAAAACTACATGAAAAAAAGCCAGAATGAACAATTACTTCTAAATATACAGTAACCTTGCAAAGTAGGGAGCAAGCAACTTGCTTGGGGTTTTGGGGTACATGTTTTAAATTCCACATCAATGCCTGCATGGATGGGATACACAACTTCTCCTTGGCATGGATATGATATCAATTTGCCCTTTTTCATTCTATAATGTAAAGGCATTGTATGGCCTCCCAGGGCATTTTATTCCCCTCTCTCCAGTACACAACCAACTCTTTGGCTGTCCCTGTCCAACCTCCGTGAGGTCAGTCCAAAATTAGAAATCAAATGTAAATAAGTCTATGCCATGCATGCAATACAACTGCATCGCTTTTGTTTTGAAAGCAACTGCTATTTTTTTCCCCAGTTTGCATAGCAATAGCAACAGCTCTTAGATTTAGATACCGCTTTGCAGTGCTTTACAGCCCTCTCTTAAGTGGTTTACAGAGGCCGCATATTGCCCCCAAAAATCGGGGTCCTCATTTTACCCACCTCGGAAGGATGGAAGCCTGAGTCAACTTTGAGCCGGTCAGGATCGAACTGCTGGCAGTGAGCTGAGTTAGCCTGCAATACTGCATTCACTGTGCCATTCACTGCACATAACCACTGCACCACCCTGGCAATAGAATGGAATGGAATGGAATGGAATGGAATGGAATAGAATAGAATAGAATAGAATAGAATAGAATAGAATAGAATAGATAACCACTGTGCGACCACGTGCATGTATGCATGCCTATGCACCTTCACAGGCCTATCTTTTCAGCCCTTTACAACAGTCGCAGTTTCTCATGTGGCCCCTTGGGGAAATTAATTGCCCACCCTGGGTATGATATCCAGTTATATATTTCAAACAAGTGAGGCCGCCTAGATTCTTCTGATCCATGTTTTGAAGGCCATATGAATTAGATAGGAAGGAGAAAGCTATACCTTGACTAACTACACGTCCACCAATACTGGCAGGGCAAGCTACTGTGTATAAACAGAGAGCAAACCCCACGTTCTCTAGCACGGATAGCGTTACCTAGCTGGGTAATGAAACGTCTACAAGCAAATAGCCAACCTCGGAGAGCCTCAACAACTCCACCATTCAACCCCTCGGCTGTATATATTCTCCTCTGTTGGAACTTTGTTTCTTTGTGGTTCTTTATATTTGCAGCATGAGGTTAGCTGATAAAAGACCTACTGTGCCTTTAAGATTAAAAGCAGACGAATGCAGCCTTTTTTTTGAAGAAATAGAAAATGCCCAGCTTCAATTGCATATCTGGAAGGTTGGCTTCGATTCCATGGCAACCTAAATACCTTTGAGAAGCAGTCAGTTATGGAAGCCAAGGTCAAAGGGCAGGTATTTACTGTTCATTTCTCCCAATGACCTGCTCAGAGCTACCCATCCGTTCAACTGCTGGCAATAGCTCTACAGTACTGCAATGAAGTGGATATTGTGTTGAACAACAGCGCTGGACAGAAGCAATATCATTCATTCAAAGCCCACTCAGTTCTGAGCATTCAGTACTAAGCAAACTGAGGGCAAAATAGACTTCAATGGGTGCCAGCTGGTAATGAAAACAGATAGCAGTGCAGCCTTGCTGAAGTTTTAATATCTTCCGGGTGAGTGGAAGGATAGGAAGGATATTAAAATGCATCTCACCCAGAGGACACCTGGTTCAAGAAGACTAAAGGGGAAAGTACAGGTAACAGTACCACAATCAAACTCTATCAAGAAATGTTGCATCCTGGCAATATCTAAGTTACACGAGAGTTGCGTTCCAGGAATCTTGGCCTAAGATGATTCCCCCCACCCCACATGTTGTATTGCACACTGGATGCATGGACCCAAAATGGTGGTTTTGTATAAAGCTGAGTTTTCATCATTCATGGCTTGCATAACTCGGATATTGTCTGTTTTGTTCTCCAGTTATTTGGCTGCCAATTCAACATATCACTCAGGGAAGCGAAGAAGAATTTATAAACAGTGAAAGCAAAAAATCAACAGAAATTAAAACACATTACGCCAGAGGTGGGGTTGTACACTTATTATATCAATAAGTCTTTAAAAATTGATTCATGTAGCTACTAGATCTGGGACCAATTTCTGGTGGAAAAGACAGTGTTGGAGATGACTAGACTGAGACTGAGGGAGGGATCAAATATGTCATCAGTCTCAAATCCCTTCATGCCCACAAGAGATTTAAATCCAGCCCAACTTGAATTCCATTGACTCTTTTCTACCACCAATTTGCTTTGACCCTTAGTAGTTTAGATTCTTATAGAGAGTGTAAATCTGTAGTCATTTGAACCGCCTTGCTTCCTCGTTTCTTGCTCCTGACAGACAAGTTCTCAATGTTTTATGAAAGATTATTGGGCTTAACATTTTGCAGGGAGTTCTGGGCCTTGCAATATGGTCTCACTACTGAGTTCCACTCTCATATCTGGCCAAACTTTATTTATTAAACTGGTTTGTGGACGACTCTACTCATTTACTTGAATATGAACTCCTGTTTTATCCGCTCCTGGCATACAAAAACATCCACTGACATTCAATCAAAAAGGAATAGAAACCCTATCGTTAAGCCTTATAAACCCTGTTAATAACCCATGCATGTATGACATTTATTTGCTGCCTATCTCACTCAAAGCGACGAACAACAATTTTTAAAAAATGAAAAGAGCATAAAGAAAACAGAAGTAAAATAATAGAACAATAAAATGACAATGACAAAGAAACCCAATGAGAATAATACATCAATACGATAACCTAAAAAGATGGATGGGTGAAGAAGTGAGCAGGGAGGTAGAGTTTGCCATCAATCCAGCAACTATCTCCAGCATGATACTCCCCCATTTGGGTCTCCAGTCGAAACAGAAGTGCCAGGTCTTCAGAGTCTTTTGGAAGGAAAGAAGGGGGGGCGCAGATCTTACACACGGTAGGATCTTCCAAAGGGCAGGTGCTGCAGCAGAGAAGACTCTTGATGCTCTCTGAGCTTGCTTGTTTTCTTGTAGACATTTCATTAACCAAACTAGGTAACATCATCAGTGCTAGTAAGGAGTGTTACTTGCTATCAGTTTGTTTTTTGATGACTTCCTTCTCTGTGTGAGTAGGGCCAGTCTTAGAGATTCTTTGGTTGGGCTGTTTACTGATGGCTCTTTGGCAGTTTCTTGATTGGGGTGTTGTTGACTTGATTGTTGGTCTGACGCAGTGGTGAAATCTAAAATTTGTTTGGTTCTGTGGGCTTGGCTTGGTGGGGGTGGGGGTGGTGGGTTAATGTAACTGGGTGGGCGTGGTCATTTTTTTTTTTTACTTTTAAAACCATTTTTTCTACAACCTTTTCGGCAAAGAGGTTGTAAAAAAATGCTTTCAAAAGGCTCTGACGATCCCAGCTGAGTTGCCTGATCGGCAGAGGCTTTTTATTCTTTTAAATGCCTCTGACGATCAGGCAACTCAGCTTGGATCGTCAGAGGCTTTTAAAAGAAAAAAAGACTCTGATGATCGCACGGCTCAGCTGGCCATGGGGGGGGCAGGGATTTTTGCTACCGGTTCTCCGAATCACCTGCCTCCATCACTACCGGATTGGGCGATCCGGTCCGAACCGGGAGCATTTCACCTCTGGTCTGGCGTTAACTTTGAAGTTAATCTATGCTGATCTGGGTGCTGATTAGTGGTGGAAAGGTGCTGGAGTCTTTTTGTTCTTCTTTGGGGCTGGTTGATGGTCTCTTTTGCATAGTCTACAGATGTTGTTAATATCTATGTGTCTATTGATGGCTGATTCATCAGAGTGCTAGGCTTCTAGAAATTCCCTGGCATTTTTGGATTTCGACTGGTCTAACGATTGTCACATTTTTCCAATTGAAACTATGGTTAAATCTGTCTCCATGTGGTGAAATTAAATAATTTTCATCACGTCTTCTGACTGCCAGTTGGTGTTCATGGATGCGTTCTGCCAGTCTTCTCCCTGATTGTCCTGCATCAGGGTTGTTGCAGTTCTTACATTGTATGTTGTGAATTCCTGTTTTTTCTTCTTCTGAGGTTGTTGGGTCTTGAAGGGCTTTAGTTGGCTTGTGTGCTATGCTAATTCCATGTGGTGGTAGTAGTCTGTTGGTGGTTTCTGAGATATTCTTGCTGCATGGGTGTGTAATTCTTTGTAGGGTTTGAGTTGGTTGTGCTATATTGGGTTGAGCGGTTAGCGACTCTTCTTCTGGACTCTTATAGTCAAAGTTATCACTAGTTATCAATACCAGGTGGAACCAGAAGTCCACAGTAAAAATGCAGAGTTCAGTTGTGTATCCCAAGCTATGTCCTTCTCACTTTCTCTCTGCTAATTCTGAACATTCCTCAACTCGTAAAAATAGACTGTATTGGGTTTGCTGTTCCTTCTTTCCTGTTATCATCTAGTAAAGGGCAAAGGCTAAAAATTCCTCAGCAGCTGAGACTGAGAACCTTTAAGAAGAGGTCACGTTCAATGTAACTTCTTGTGCCAGTTCTGAATTTAGACCTTGCATTATGGTCACCGCAGCGTGGAGAAGCAAACTTTTGCATCTCTGAAATAAATGTGCCTAGTGTAAGATCAGAATATAGCGAGACATTTGGCATGTGGGTAATTAACAATTTTAAAAAAAAAAAAGGAAAAAGCCATTTGAGTTTGTGTGTGTGTGAAGGATCTGAAATAAATAGATGCATGTTTTTCCCTGCTAGCTTTTGTTATGCGAATTGACACGGTTCAGGAAGGCGAGATATTTCGCCACTTGAAATTAGAATTGCTTGCAGCTAGTTCCTGAATATTTGAGATAATGTAGGAAAGGTTTCAGATTTTAAGACCTCGCCTTGGGTTTGATCCAAAGTTGAACTCCACTTCGACTCAAGCCAAATTAAGCTGGTCTTTGAATCCTTGAATCTGGATCCAAGCCAGAGTTATGTTCTTATTTCATCTTCAGAGTTGTCTTGGGATGTAAAACTGATGGAAAGTAATTACTATTATTTTATAAAAGTTGGCCCTTGGTAGCCAAAACATAGTAGTCCATATTTTGAAGCGTCTTCGTACATGGTAATAATTGACTTAGATAAAACATCGTTGCAGTTTTACTTTAAAAGAGCCGAGGTGGCACAGTGGTTAGAATGCAGTACTGCAGGCTACTTCAACTGACTGCTAGCTGCAGTTCAGCAGTTCAAATCTCACCAGGCTGAAGGTTGACTCAGCCTTCCATCCTTCCAAGATGGGTAAAATGAGGACCCAGATTGTTGGGGCCAATATGCTGATTTTGTAAACTGCTTATAGAGGGCTATAAAAGCACTATGAAGTGGTATATAAGTCTAAATGTTATTGCTATTTGCTATTTTAATGCATGGGTGTTCAACCTTGGCCACCTTAAGACCTCTGGACCTAAACTCCCTGCTGGGTGGAGAATTCTGGGAGTTGAAGTCCATAAGTCTTAAAGTCACCAAAGTTGGATACCTCTGCTCCAATGATTCTAGTAACAGTGGGTGTTTCCTATAAAGAGGCCATGTAGACAATCCTTAACTTACAACTATTCATTTAGTAACTGTTTGAAGTTACAATGGCATTGAAAACAGTGCACATTTTTCTGCAGCATTCTTTCCTCATTTGCCGTTATCGGCTCAAGAGCAGTCATTTTTACCAAAGTATTTCCTACTCTGTGTTTTCTTCCACATGGAAGGACAGATTGTCAATAAATGTACTCTTGATGCGAGAGTGAATTTTCACACCAGTAAACAAACAGCAAACGCTGGTGTGAACACTTCCCAAGTGTGGAGCATGTCCAATTCCCCCCCCCCCCCAGCATTTCACCTTATTCTCTAAAGCACCTGAAGACAAAAAAAGAAGCAATGGATGGAAACTTATCAAAGAGAGAACCAACCTAGAAATAAGGAGGAATTTCCTGACACTGAGAACAATTAACCAGTGGAACGGCTTCCTTCCAGATGTTATGGGTGCTCCATCACTAGAGGTTTTTAAGAAGACATTGGACAGCCATTTGTCCAGAATGGTATAGGGCAGTGATGGCTAATCTTTTTGCCATCGCGTGCCAGGAAAGGAGGGCGGGGGAGGTTCGTGCATGCATGTGCCCACACCCATAATTCTATGTGCCCTGCCCCACATATGCATGCGTGACCCCCCCACCCCCCTGCTCCTGGCACGCGATGGCCCGGTAGGCCTGTTTTTCTTTCTCACCTGGCTCCTCTCTATGCATCTGGGGAGGGCGAAAACAGCCTTCCCCACCCACTCGGAGGCCTGAAACGGCCCGTTTCCCAACTTCTGGTTGGACAGGAAGTGACTTTTTTGCTGTCCCCAGCCTCCAGAGACTCCTAGAGAGGCTTTGGAGGTTGGGGACAGCTAAAAACATCACTTCCTGTCCAACCGGAAGTTGGGAAATGGGCCGTTTCGGGCCTCCGGAGGGCCTCCAAAGGGGTGGGGAAGGCTGTTTTCACCCTCCCCAGATGCATAAAGAGGATCTGGAGCCAGGTGAGAAAGAAAAACGGGCCTTCCCCACCCACCACACCCTCAGGTCCTCCGGAGTCAGGAAACACTCTGTTTCCCTACTTGTGGTGGGCCCAGAAGGCCCGAAAATTAGCTGGCCAGCACGTGCATGTGTGCCAGAGCTGAGCTGGCATGCCAGGCGACATGGCTCCGCGTGCCACAGGTGCCATAGGTTCGCCATCACAGGTATAGGGTGTCCTGCTTGAGTAGGGGATTGGAGTAGAAGACCACCAAGGTCCCTTCCAATTCTGTTATTCTTAGAAAGGAATAACTGCATCCCCCTCCCACAAAAGTAGATGTTAATTCTTTTGGGTAGGTTTGTGTGTGTGTGTTCTCCATGTGTGTTCTTTGCAAGCCAAAATCCTGGATGGAATTCTTAACCTTTTCCTTAAACATTCAAACAAATCAGAACTCTTAGGTGTTTGCTAATTTTCTCTTTGCTTTGTTGGCACAGAGTTTTGACATTTGATAGCTGTTGAGGGAAACTATCAAGATATATGGTGAGCCTCAAGACACAAAACTATGAGAACTATGAATATTTATATTATTTTTAGGAGGGTTTCTTCTTTTTTAACATTTGCAAACAACAATACAGGAGATTTTGGCACTAAACTCAAAATGTTATACTTCTTTCTTATATCATAAAAGCAACAATGCATGGCTTGGTATCATTTACTAACGTGATATAACAATACAACTTCAGTAGTTATCTGTTCATTCCTAGATATCCCTGTTTTGAAAACACTGCTTCGTTTTAAATAAAATAAAAAAGTGTATTGTAGGTTTTCTTTCATAGAAAGAAAAGAGAAAGAGAATGATTCAAGAGTTAATTACACCCATTTTGGCCATCATTTAATGTTGCTCAGGGCAGCAAAGTCAGAACACTTTCCTTTCACTAGCTATAATGTTTTATTATCATCATTTTCTTTCTTTTTCCAATAAATTTCAGGATTGAAATCTTTGCTCTTCCTCAGAAGTCTCAGAAAATTGCCTCGCTCCCCTGTCCAGTCATAGCTTTAAAGCAGTGGTGAAATCTAAAATTTGTTACCACCGGTTCTGTGGGCGTGGCTTGGTGGTGGTGGTGTAATGTGACTGGGTGGGCGTGGCCAATTTTTTTTTCTTTTAAAACCATTTTTTCTACAACCTCTTCGGTGAAGAGGTTGTAAAAAAATGCTTTCAAAAGGCTCTGACGATCCCAGCTGAGTTGCCTGATGGTCAGAGGCTTTTTTTCTCTTATATTCCTCTGACGATCAGGCAACTCAGCTTGGATCATCAGAGGCTTTTTTTTTTTTAAATGCCTCTGACGATCCAAGCTGAGTTGTCTGATCGTCAGAGGCTTTAAAAAGCTTGGATCGTCAGAGGCATTTAAAAGAAAAAAAGCCTCTGATGATGACGCGGCTCAGCTGGGCATGGGGCGGGGGCAGGGATTTTTGCTACCAGTTCTCCGAACCACCCGCCTCCATCGCTACCAGATTGGGCGATCCGGTCCGAACCGGGAGCATTTCATCCCTGCTTTAAAGAGAGGCCAACCATTGGTTGTAAAATAAGCAGGACTTCTTTATGAGAGGGAAGTTGTGATAATTACACGTTGATCAAAAAGCAGGATGAGATGAACTGTTATGTAAATCATACCATGGAGGAAAGGTCAAGTAAAACCAAGAATTCTGCTCTGTGGAACATAGTTGAAAATGTTTCTACAAGGGAATGACAACATGCATTATGCTTAACAAGAAATTTTAATATATTACAGGCATTCCTCGACTTATGATGACAATTAGAACCAGAATTAGAATTTCTGTCGCTGAACGAGGTGGTGGCTCACTGACTTGTGCCCAATTTTTACAACTTTATTTTTGCCATGGTTGTTAAGCAAACCACTGTGTTTTGGAATGATGGGACCAAACAACATTCCTGGTCAGCGAGAGACAGTTTATTGCGCAGTTTCAGAACCAGATTTGTATCTGCAATTCTGAACCAAGAAGAGCTCTGATACAACTGCTTTTATACATCTCCAAGACAAAGGATTTTGCAAGCACAGCAGTTTTCCATATATGGTTAACATACATTTGTTACATGATAATTGACACTTTCTAATTACTAAATTCTTTCATTATTTTCTAGTTCATAAGATTATTTTAGCTAAACAACCTTCCTCAGTTCTGTAATTGCTGATGCGTAGATTCATGGCTGCTTTGGATAATAAGTAACTTTTTGTTTCAGATGGATGTCTTTGCATGTCTTTGCATCCTTGACAGCTAGGCCCCTCAGAAGATATATATTACCAAGAATGGAATTTAGCTGACTTAGTGTAATCTCTAAACAAGCACATTTCTTTCTTATAATAATGTGAATAAAGAGGGTCCTTCAGTGTTCATATAGCTGACCCTGTACTATTCCTACATCATTCACATAAACTGCAGTTGTTAAGTGAATTAGCGCACCAGCCAGCTGATTTTCAGGCCTTCCGGGCCCACCAGACATTGGGAAATGGACCGTTTCCAGCCTCTGGAAGGCCTCTGGGGGGGTGGAGAAGGCCGTTTTCACCCTCCCCAGGCTCCAAGAAAGCCTCTGGAGCCTGGGGAGGGCGAAAAATGGGCCTTCCAGGCCCACCAGTAACCTTTTTGCCATCACGTGTCAAAAACAGGGGGAGTGCGGTGGGGTTGCGGAGCACAGGGGGCCATTGAATTATGGGTGTAGGCATGCACGCATGTGACCCCACCACCACACTTCCCCTGCTTTTGGCACGCGATGGCAAAAAGGTTAGCCATCACTGGTATATAGGGTCTCCTGCTTGAACAGGGGGCTGAATTAGAAGACCTCCAAAGTCCCTTCCAACTCCGTTATTCTGTTATTTGTGATAATGTCGAGACTCCCTAAAACATTTATAGCATTCTGCCTTTCTCCATCAGCCTTAAAAGAGACATGCTGACTCCCTGAATGTATGTAACATGTAGATGTACCCTAAATATTTACTGAAAAAAGAGAGTGAGCAAATCCCTCCTATCTTTATGAATATTCATTCTGCTGCTTAATGGTTCCCTCTAGCATGGATTTGTGCTACTTCTTTACATTGGTATTTTCCCCGAAGTGAGGAAATAATTTCTTCTTGAATTTCCCCCCCCCCCCACCCCACCCTTTCTCTGCAACACATTAAAAATTATCTGTCGCCTCCTTTGCATTCAGTAATGCAGAAATTATTGGAACACTTAAGATACCATTGTTTATGGAGGAGAATTTGGGGGAAGGGGGATAAAGTAGAAATAATAATAAAAAAAACTTCCTAGATACAATTTTCCAGCTCAGCCCTGAAACCTTTTAGAAAACCAAGAAATGTTGCTTGGAAAATTTGGTGGGAGGCAAACATCACTCTGTCAAAGCCAAAGGGAGTAGTTTCCTAAAAAGAAATATGTTCATGGAGTAACTGCCTCTTTTTTTTTATTTATTATTTTGTCAAACACTTAAGATAACAGATATAAGTATAAACATGATTATGAATACAGGATAAGGATACGAATAAATGGGGACAGTAGGACAGGGACGGTAGGCACGTTGGTGCACTTATGGACGGCCCTTACAGACCTCTTAGGAATGGGGTGAGGTCTACAGTAGACAGTCTAAGGTTAAAGTTTTGGGGGTTTGGGGAAGAAACCACAGAGTCAAGTAGTGCATTCCAGGCATTGACCACTCTGTTGCTGAAGTCGTATTTTCTGCAATTAAGTTTGGAGCGGTTTACCTTAAGTTTGTATCTATTGTGTACTCGTGAATTGTTGCGGATAGATAGGATGTTGTAGCAGATAATTTTATGTACTACGTTTAGGTCAGACCGAAGGGGGCATAGTTCAAAGTTGTCTAAGCCCAAAATTTCAAGCCTGGTGGCATAAGGTATTCTGTTGCGAGCAGAGGAGTGGAGTGGAGGACTCTTCTCATGAAATATCTCTGGACTCGTTTAATTGTATTAATGTCCAATATGCAGTGCGGGTTCCAGACAGATGAGCTGTATTCAAGAATTGGTCTAGCAAAGGTTTTGTATGCCCTAGTTTGCAGTACAATATTACCGGAGAAGAAGCTTCGCAAGATTAAGTTAACAACTCTTAATGCTTTGTTGTTTCAAATCCCCATGGACTGTGTAGTCCTGCCCCATTAGCTCATTGATACTCCAGCAGCCTCACTGACTTCATTAAGTACACAATGCACCGATTCACAGGGGGGAGTAAAAAGAGAAACATTAGCCTTGAATCCTTGCTATGCAAGATGCAGCACAGAAAAGATCCTCCTTAATTCTTCACAGCATTTATCAAATAGTTATTCAGAGAGTGCTTTAGTCTGTCACGATTGTGTCTATTTTAGGCGAACAGCAATAAAGAAAATGCTTTGAGCATTTACATTTGTCGTTCTTGGTTCCTTGGGCACGACACAATGTGCTATATCCAATGAAATATTTGCTGATCTCTATTTGCAATCAAACACCTTGCTATTCTCCCCAAACGTATATACAGGTAGTCCTTAACTTCGAGCAGTTCATTTAGTGAATACTCAAAGTTACAATGGCACTGACTTCAAACAGTTACTAAAAAAATTAGTTGTAACTTGAGGGCTACCTATGAATGATACCAGTGGTGGATTTTAAAATTTTTTACTACCAGTTATGTGGATGTGGCTTGATGGGCATGGCATGGCTTGGTGGGTGTGTCTTGGTGGGCGTGGCAGGGGAAGGATACTGTAAAATCTCCATTCCCTCCCCACTCCAGGGGAAGATTACTGCGAAATCCCCATTTCCTCCTGATCAGCTGGGACTTGTGAGGCAGAGAATAGATGGGACAGGGCCAGTCAGAGGTGGTATTTACTGGTTCTCTGAACTACTCAAAATTTCTACTACCGGTTCTCCAGAACTGGTCAGAACCTGCTGAAACCCACTCTTAATGACACACATCAGTCACTGATATGCTTGCTAAAAAAGATAAATGCCATTCTAAGTTGCATCAATAGAAAATGGTTTCAAACTCATGAGAAGTATAAGTTCTTTTATCTTCTACCTCCTTCAGGCCTCACCTGGAGTCCTTGATCATATTCTGGGCAACACATTTTAAGAAAGATTCAGAGAAACCAGGACAGGTGCAGAAAAATGCAAAGAATTAGATCTGAATGTGTGCAGCTTGGGTACTTATTGCTAGAGTCAGCAAATCTTTTCTATAACTTCCCATGCCACCAAGGACGGGTTCTCTTTATCTTATTTGCCAGATATGAACAGACTATGTTCATTTCCCCCCGAAATCGATGTAAAGCATTTAACTTTGGGGAATTGTGTCCTATCGTAATTGATTTTGGAGCTGACTTTCTCTTCATCACTGACTTTCTCCTCACTGGTACGGCAACTGATGCTTGCTCTGAAGCACATGGATGATCAATAGGAAAAGATTAAATTTCTTGAAATTCTAGGTCTTCATATTTAACCTTCTGGCAACCGCATAAGGAATAGTTGACGAAGGTGGCAGGGAATAGAATGGTTTGGAAAGGGTATTATTGCTCATTGCAGTCAGCCAGATGTTTGGAGTGGATTTGGAATTTTGATCTACCTATCGAGTCCTTCCCAAGAACTTGAGATCGACAGATATTGTTGTTTGATGGTGTAAAAGGTATTGTCACAGGATGTAAGGTTTTCCAAGTAAAGCTGCCTTTTGATATTCACTAATGGAGATCAATGATGATGGTGTTGAAATGGTACTCCAGATGTTTTGAGATTGCACACATTGTGCCTATTACTATTGATAGTGTCTTGGATTTCTTTTGCTGCAGTCGTTCTACTTCTTTTTGCAGGTCTTTGTATTGTCTGATTTTCCCTAGTTCTTTCTCTTCTATTCTGCTGTCTCCAGGTGTTATATAATGCAGTGAGTTTCACGGTCTAAGACTGGTGGAAACTTAATGTCAAGTTCTAACCAAGAATTATTAAGATAGTGTCTAGGAATGTAGGCAGTTCCAAGGGGGAGGTTCCTAAAATTAGGATGTTCGGGTCCAATAAATTCAATATTTCCAGAGTTCAAGAGAGTTCTTCAAGTATTGCTATGAGGGATCCCAGCACGATTAATATAACAACAGATCTGTTTCCATAGGTTTTTTTACTTCAGTCTGCAAATGTGGATTTTGTTATTTATATCCAATTGCTTTTTTTCAAGCCTAGTATCAGGTCTGCCATCTTCAGCTTGGCGCCTTGTTGGCATCCTACCATCAAACACCAGGGGGAAGGAGATATGGGGTGAATAAATGGGCATATGGGTATGCGATGGGAAATAGGGAGCGGGAATGACAGTGTGATGAAGACCAGAGATGCACAGAACCGATTTGTACCAGCACTCAAGGCCAGGCACCTGAGAGTGGAATGTGGACTACCCCAAACATTGAAGCATTTCTCAAAACACCTATACGGCACCTTATTAGCTGAAGACAAACTGGGGGCAGGGCTGGAATAAGGGGTACAATTTCTAACTTTTTTGTGCAGGAAAACTTAGGTTCTTTTACTAAAGAATACTGGCTGCAGCAAAAACAGGCTAGAACTATTACTTCAACCAAATGGAGTTGAAGATGTTTCTTTCCTAAGGGATTTACCTGGGGCAGGCCTGACATCCAGCATCAGCCAGTATAGCAATATCAATGAACCAGACTTTCTTCTTTTTGAGTGAATGTTATATCTGATATGTTATGAACAAGGCATTTGTCTATTTGGTTTTTAAAGTCCCATAAGATCTTAGCCCATTCATTTTCCAAAACCTTCTCAACTTGATGATCCCAGTACATCCAAATCCAAATTTCTGCAAAGTTTCCATTTATTATTATTATTATTATTATTATTATTATTATTATTATTATTATTATTATTAATCTTTAGTGAGATTCACAGCCTTTGAGGCTGGTTAATAGCTCAGCAGCTCGAGTCCTAACCAAG